TGCGCCCTGAGCGACACAGTGTGACAGCCAGGGGCTGCCCCCGTTCAATAAACACCGCACTCCGGGCTGTGTGTGTAGGCGGTGGGGCGGGGAGATATGGGGTGTGCTTCCATGTTGGGGAGAGGACAGGGACGATCAGGGAAGGCAAGAGATGACTAAAACTTTTGGGGCCAAATTTACAAAGGTCTCTGTGCGCCTATTCACTTAGGCGACTAGTTTGATTTGAGCCTTTAGAAAGGTTCTAAGAAAATCACCTTCAGAGAGAACCATGAAGCACAATAAGAGGTTAAAAAAAACCCCATGGATATAAACCAACCTTTCCCATGACATCATCACCTCTGTTGTATTATTTGAATCTGAATATTATTAGCGTGTGAAAAGAAAGAAAGAAAGAAAGAATACAGCCGGATTATTTATAAAACAATCACTATGTTGCTGGGGCAGGTCCTGGCCTGGCTGATTGCACCCCTCTGGAGGGGCCGGAGCGATTCCCAGCCCTGGGACCAGCCCTGGCTGCGCTGCTGGCTCAGCCCGGCAGATACAGTTGCCTCCCAGCAGGACCGGTGAGTGTGGCCCGGAGGCAGGGCTTGGGGGAGTGGGTCTGTGGGGAGTATAGGGGGGGGGGGTGCTGGGCTGTGAGGGGGCGGGGAGGATGTGTGTGTAAGGGCACCAGGGAGTGGGGCTTCTGTGGGTGGTGCTGGGCAGTTGTGGTGGGGCTGTGGGCAGGGGTGGTGTTGTGCAGGTCACTGTGCATTTGTGGGTGGGTCGGGGGGGGGGCGCTGGGCATAGTGGGTCTAGGGGCCTCTGGCCATAGGGAGTTAGGTGGTGTTGGGCAGGAGGGGGGCTGTGTGGTGTGGCATAGGCCCACCGCCTGATGGGAAGGGGCATGCTGGCAGTATAGGGCATCTGGCAATTGCCAGTTTGTAAACAGTGCCCTTGCATTGGGTAGAGTGGGGCCACCCCTGCCATGCCATGCCCCATTCCCCTGGCTGGTCCCTCTCTCCAGGGACTGACCTCCCCATCGCCATGCTCCATTGCCTCCATGGGGCCCCACAAATATGTTTGGGGCCAGGCCCACAAAAGGTTAATCTGGCCCTTCCAAGGGATAGATAGTTGAAAGGGAAATTCCTGTGTTTTGGGATAGATGTGTGTACAGAAAGCTGCCTGACCCGCAAAGTTATCAGAACCCCCCATTTGATACCATGATTTCCCTCCCCTGCACACACTTTGCTCCGAGAGGGCAATACGGTGTCTAAGAAATAGTATAAATGGCAATATTTTCCCACCCCACAGGTTCTGTTCCTTTCTGCCACCAACCCACCTGCCCCTAAGCCCTCAAATGCAGGCATCTCTGTCAACACCAATCAGAAGCATTTGCAGAGCAGAGACAGTCACATCTATGTAGTCAGCTGTATGGGATTTATGGCGGTGGGGTCCCTAGCTCAGAGATTGCATAGACCTTTGTGAGACCTTGCCTGGTGTGTGAAACCATTCTCTTCCCTGTACAGAGGCAAATCAATTATTTTTGGTGTGAGGATTTAGCACAGTGGTTTCCCCAGACTCACTGAAACCCACGATACATTTAACATGGGTCTTGGTCTTGGCTGTTAGGATCCTGTCTGTGCAGAGTAAGATTCCATTAGACAATCTGAGAAAAGTCTTTTCTTCCAAGCGATAATCCTGTCTCTATCACTGCATTTGTCTATCACTCTATCACTGTTCATTATCTCTGAGTTTATCTATCCTGTTTCCAATATGATTGTGGGCATCCGAGATGTTTCCATTATATCTGTGAGTATTTGTTATGTTCACATTGTCTCTGAGTATATCTATTGTGTTTCTATTTATTTATTGCATCTAGACAGAATGTTTCCAATATCTAAGTATGTATCTATTATATTTCTATGATATTAGTGTCTGTTATGTATCTAATATATCTGTATGAATCTATGTGTACATTGCCTCTGAGTGTATCTGTAATGTTTCTGTGAAATCTGAGTGTCTCTATTATGCATCTAACATATTTGTATCTACTATGGGTGCATTACACCTGAATGTATCTATTATGTTTCTATTGTCTGAATATAACTATTCTGTTTCTATTATATCTTTATCTACTTGATTTTTCCATTACCTATATATGTATCTATGATGTTTCTATTGTATCTGAGTGAAGGTATTATGTATCTATTATTTATATATTATGTCTAAGTATATCTATTATGTTTCTGTTATATCTTTGTCTATTATTTTCCATTTTCTCTGTGTGCCTCTATTTTGTCTCAGAGTGTCTATTTTGCTTCCATTGTCACAGTTCTCATTTTGTACTGCTTTGCGCCATGCACAGAAGGGACCTATGGAGACTCAGTGACCCAAACTGAAGGCAGCCTTACCATCTTATAAGGAGACAGTATGTTTCTCAAATGTAGTTACAAGTCTGTTTCTTCCTATCCCTTCTGGTAGGTGCAGTATCCCAGCCAGTCCCCCAGGCTACTCCCGAGGTTCGTTGAAAGGGAGGACTCAGATAAAGGGATCAGGAGAGGGTTCAACGATACACAGGATGAAAGGCAAAAATTCTTCCCTCTGGGGAAACCTTCCAGTGAAGCCAGGGACTCCACTACCTATTAATGCGCCATGAGAGACATAAGGAAACGGATCAGGTGTGGAAAGGAGCAAAAACCACACACAGGAACCTGCAGGCTGGGGTCTGGGAGTGATTGGGAAGTCATGGGGACTCGGGGTATTTTACATATAAAGAATATAGAATAACATTTCTCTCTGGCACTGCTCATTATTCAGCCCTGTGATTTCCCTTAAAGCGGGTGTAAGGTTTCTAGCATTGTAGGGAATAAGATAAAACACAATTTAACTTAACAGGAATATTTCTAAACAGAAGGTCCCCCTTGTGATACCCATAATAGATACACAAACACAGACACACATTATATATGTAAGGGCTTTTAAGTTTATACATTGTGTATACACACATGCTTAGAGTAATATGATAGATAGATAGATTTTTTTCATAAACCCACCCATATCATGCAGGAAGAAATACCCACCTACACCATAGAAATGGTTGCTTGATTGGCTGCAAAGATATGAGAAACGTTGCTTCTGCTACTAAAATTTCCCAACAGTGAGATTATTTTTGCCAAGTGGGGGCAATGTTGCCACAGACAATAAAACAAAAAACACTGTATTTTCCTGGCTGGTGAGTTCTCTTCTCTCTTACCATGGTCCCTCCCACCACCGCCCCTTGTAATCCTCCAAACAGCTTCCACCTCGAAAAGCACCAGTTCTGAAGCACTTTAGGGCTTGGCTACACTTGCAAGTTAGAAAAACAACAAGGAGTCCGGTGGCACCTGAAGAAGTGAGGTTCTTACCCATGAAAGCTTATGCTCAAATAAATCTGTTGGTCTTTAAGGTGCCACCAGACTCCTTGTTGTTTTTGTGGATACAGACTAACATGGCTACCCCCTGATACGTGCAAGTTACAGTGCATTAAGTCAGCCCCAGACACCCTAACTCCTGAGGTGTCCAAGCTGGCAAGGCACGTAGAGCATCCAGACTCCGCGGCTGGAGTGCCCCTGGTAATCCACCTCCATGAGAAACATAATGCTTGCTGTGCCCCGGCTGGAGCACCGCGGTGCCAGTGTGGATGCCCTGGCCTGTTAGTGCACTCGGATCGGCCTCCAGAAGTGCCCCACAATGCCTGTTCTAGCCACTCTGGTCATCACTTTGAACTCTACTGCCCTACCCTCAGGTGACCAACCATCTGACCTGCCCTTTAAATTCTCCAGGAATTTTGAAATTCCCCTTCCTGTTTGCTCAGCCAGGCATGGAGTGCTCTCAGTGCATCTTTTCAGGTGACCATGCCTCCACGCACTAGGTGATCCCCAGCATGGAGCAATGGTGAGGTGCTGAACCTCATCAGTGTTTGGGGGAGGAAACTGTCCAGTCCCAGCTGTCCAGTCCCAGCTGTAGGAATTACGATACCTTCAGGCAGACATCAAGGGACATGATGGAAAGGGGCCATGACCGGGATGCACAGAAGTGCAGGGTTAAAGTGAAGGTCCTGCAGAGTGCCTACAAAGCACGGGAGGCAAAATGCCACTCTGGTGCTGCCCCCACAACCTGTCATTTCTACAAAGAGCTGGACTCGATACTTGGGGGCAACTTCACCTCCACTCCGAAGACCACCATGGACACTTCAGAGGCCGTAGCAGCAGAGAATTCAACAAGGCAGGAGGAGGAAAGCAGATGCGAGGGTGCTGAGGAGGAGAGGGATAGCCAGGCATCCCTAGATGCATGCCGTCAGGAGCTGTTTTCAAGCCAGGAGGAAGATAGCCAGTCTCAGCGGACGGTGCTTGGTAAAAACAAAAACAAACAAAACAGTAGAGGAGGTGCCCAATAAGTGGCTTTTATTTTGGGAAGGTAGTTGTTGGGTACAGGCTCTTGGGGTGGGAGGGTTGCAGAGTTAGGGCTGCATGCATGCCTACGTATGGAATACGGGTTGATGTGCTCTCTCACATCGCAGTAATCGGCCTCAATGATCTCTTCAAAGTTCTTATGCAGAAGCTGGGCCATCCTCCTGTGCAGATTCCTTGGCAGAGCTACTATGTTCTTTGTCCCAGTAAGTCTAACATGTCTGCACCACTGTGATGTGAGGGGTGGGGGGGACCATTGCTGCACACAGGCAAGCTGTATATGGGCCAGGGCAGAAGCTGCATTTTTGCAGAAGACCCTCCCTTGCTTCCCAGGTCACCCTCAGCAGTGAGTTATCTTCCAGGACAAACTTATGCTGTGGAAAATGAGGCGACAGTGTTCAGTATAGGGCCCCCCTGCAGCTGTTGGCTCTCCCAAAGACACAGAATCCTAGAGGACGGTACAGCCGTGAAACAATCAGTCCCCCTTCCTCCTGTGCTTACTCACCATTTTGGGGCTCCTGTGGGTTATGTGCACTAGCTTTGGGATGGGCAATTTCTGCTATTGTGTACACTGTACTTGCCTTTAAGTATGGA